GTGAATTCATATATTTCGATAATGAAATAAATTCGAGCGCCACCTGGCGGGAAATTTTTTTCGAAAGAATTTTTTTTCCTGTTATCAATACAAATTTTAAATCTCAGGATAATCGGACCATAACCACCAGTTTTAGTAATAACTCGACTCCAACGCCACCTGGCGCCGCTTTTTTTTTTGCAATGGTATTGTTTTTCCTATTGTCAATACATATCTCGAATACGAGACGAATCGGACCATAAACACGAGTTTTAGTAAAAATTCGACTCCAACGCCATCTGGCGGCTCTTTTTTTCAATGGTATTGTTTTTCCTTTTGTCAATATTTGTCTCAAATATGACGCGAATCGGACCATAAATACGGGTTTTACTAATAACTCGAATCCAGCGTCACCTAGCGGTCGTTTTAATAGTTATTCTGCTATTCGGAAGGTAGACAAATTCAAAAAACAATATCATAAAAATCGGTCCAGCCGTTCTTGAGTTATAAATGGTGTAACTAACACGACTTTGTTTTATATATGTATATAGATATAAAAATCTCGTTTCACGGTGTTTGTGGTCGAACTCCTCCGAAACGGCTTGATCGATTTGTATGAAATTGTGTATATTTGGTAGGTATGAATAGAATATGAAGTATATTTCATACCGCTAAGTGAAGGCGCGTGGCACCTCACGTACAAACCGAATTTTTCATACAGCATATCTCTGGAAGTGTTCATGGGAGAGTACTCGAACATGGTATGTAGTATGGAGATATATGAAATCGATCCCATACTCTTAGAAAAAATTGGGGCTATTTGAAAAGAGGCGTGGCGCCTTTCAAACGTACTGAAAGTAACACGTATCTTTCTTTGTACATATAATTTTTCTGTACGTGTGTTCGTGTGTGAACCGACTTTAACGACATTTTTTGCGTTTGAGTGGGTCTCTGGATAGTTAGATTCACAGTCTGACTCGCCAGGTGGCGCTGGAGTCGAGTTATTACTAAAAATTTTACTTATAATCCGATATAGCCTATATTCGGAATATGTATTGGTATCATAAAGGGTAATATTTCTGCGAAAAAGTATGCCCGCCAAATGGCTCGGGAGTCGAGTTTTCACTAAAAATCGTCGAGTGAGGAAAATGCCATGAATATCCGATTACTGTGGATTAAAGCTTCATTCGGAGACACCAGGATTGCGTGGTGCAGGGGTCAATCCCAAATGACCACCTTTAAATCCTTAATAAGACATTTTAGA